CACTGAGGGACATGACACCTGGGGGAGCTCTGACCAGAGGGCTCTGAGGTTGCCCCTCTCTGCTGGTGAAGGGGGAAGCCTGGTTTCCTGCTTCAACACAGTCTCTGGAGAAGATACAAATGAGAGGAATCGGTACTCACTATTTGTATATTCACTTATTTATTTTTTATGTGAATGCATCAGAAGAAACAAAAAAGAAAGAGAAAAGGAGAAAGAGTGCAAGAGAGAAAAGGAGAAAGAGTGGAAGAGAGAAAAGGGAGGAGAGGAGAGGAGAGGAGAGGAGAGGAGAGGAATAAAAACAGAAGAAAGCATCTCAGACACGTAGGGCAGGGTTGTGCTTGCCTCGACCCAACCCCCAGAGAAAATCATCTCAAACCCCACAGAAACGGGGCCCCCTTCACCCTTCCCCCGCTTCCGGGCAAAGCACCCGGGGCAGAAATACCTCCGGGCAAAGAGGTTACAGGACCCTCCTAAATGGCCCTGGTTTAAACACACATTTTCTCAATGAAACGGTGCCAGGGGCGGACACTGGTGCCCCTGCCCTGCCTCTCCTCCCACCAGAGCCCTCCCGGCGCTGCTGGGCCCCGGGTTTCAGGGCTGCTCTGCCCCGGGTTTTCTGAGTTTCAAGTTCAACGGCAAAGCTCCCCCGCCGGGAGACTTTACCTGGCCCCCACCCCCCGACACACACTCCTGCCCGCGGCTCCTTCCCAGGGTTTTACGAGAATGTCAGGCCTTTCTTGCCTTTTGCGGAGGCCGACGTGTAAAGCTTTTACAGCTCTCGCCGAGACTTTCCTCCTCCCCTTCCCATCTGCATTTTTGGTCTCGGATTCAGGACTGGAGCTGAGGACGTGCAATAGGAGCGAGGGGGGAACAGGACTCCCAGTTTCAGCTCAGTTTCCCCTTGGAGAGAGGGGAGGTGACGCTCACACATCGGCTAAGCTGGGCCGGAGGTGTCCGGGGTCCCGGGACCGGGTTTCTAGCCCCAACAGTGCAGGTTTAGAACAGGAAAGTCCTAATTGCGGGGCGGGGGGAAATGGGGGAAAAAAAGAAACGTGTCATTCGTGTCATTAAAAGGATTAACCCTTAATCTGATGAAGATGAGAACTCTAAGGAGAGCGTCTCATAATAGGTCACTCAGAAAATATTTCTTGATCTCCCTGGAATTCATCTGAATTTTTCTGAGACCTTGAAAGAAACTTTTTTTTTTTTTTTTTTGATGTTCTGCTTTTCTTTGTTGAACATCCGAGTGAAATTCTCACTGTCGGGTAAAGCTGATTCTGCTCTGTGGTCTCTACAGTTTCTCAGCAACCAGAACTAGAAGAATCGTTACTGTAAATAATGATAAGGAAAGTGAATTTTCTTTCATCCACCCATTCAGAAAAGCAAGACAAATATTTTTAGACGCTTTTGCGAAAGGAGAGGAATGGCAGTTCATGTTGACTTCATGTGTGAGTCAGGACAAAATTCTCCCCTCCAAGTAAATAAATAAATAAATGTACGAATAAAGGGTTCAAAGTGGAATAATTCAGAGCAGAATCCGGATGGGGAAGAGCAAAGTATAATCGGCCCCTGAACGACTAGTGCTGCTCAGAATATTTCAGCTGCAGACTCATCCATCACTGCTGTCAAGGGCCTCTGTGCATCGTGTATCGTGCAGGTTCCCCAGCATAGTCCCTCCTTCACCCACAAGACGCTCGCAAGGAAATGTGCGCACGTCTATAGGCCTCTGCATTCGCCTACAGGCAGATGTCTATGTGCCTACATGCTGTTCTGTGATCACCTCTATCTGCACGTCCGTTCTATGTGTTTGTTATGTATTTCTATACTCGGTGTTTCCATATTGCCAACCATTTTCTTGTTGGTTGTTTCTTTGTTTTGACTTTTTGCTTGTTTTTGACTGGTAACAGTTCCGTTCTTCATTTCCACCTCCCCCATATATATGTATGTCTGTATCTATCTATTTATGTGCATATATACACGCATACATATACACATACATAAACACACACATGGACACATACATATATATATGTGTGTATATATGTATATATGTGTGTGTGTGTGTGCATATGTGTATATATATATACACACGTATACATATATATACACATGTATTATATATATATATATATACACATACGCACACACACATATATATATTATTAGAGATGCAGCGATGAGCCAGGAAGACTCCTCTGGCCGGGATATAATTGGCAGAGTCAGAGCCCCCCGCGTCCCCAGCCCCGTCCAGACGGGGCCTCCTCGAGGCGGGACGTGAGGCCACCGGCTCCGGGCGGCCGCTGTTCGTGCCAGGCGCCGCTCTCGAAGGGCACCGGGATTTACTGCGTCTCCCCCACTGCGTCACCACTCGGGACGTCCAGCGTGAGAGCCATAGGCTCTTCCCCTGTTCTCTCTCCTGACGTCATCAGCGACGTCATGGGAGGGATGACCGCCACCCCGGTCCGCTGCCGCCGTCACCTCCTGCAAAGCCAAAGGGCTCCGAAACGGCTAGAAGAAGAATAAGAGAGAAAACGGGTAAAAACTGAGGGGGCTCCTGGCGTTCAACAGTCCCAAGCGACAGAAGAAAAGGACAAAACGCGCTGGACGCCCAAACTCCGAGCGTGAAGCAGACGCTTCTCCCCTGTGCAATGCAGAGCCCCCAAAGCCCAGACAAAAGCGCGACTTTTAGCATATTTCCTTTCACTTTATTTATTCTGTTTTAAATGATGGCAACGTTTCTTAATAGGCGCCAAGAGCATTTGCTATTTATTATACGAGGATAATTTCAGCACGTGCTACAAAATGCATCCTTATGACTATGGATTAGCAAGAGAAGGAAAGTGTGTGTACAAATACAGGGATATAAACACAAAGCAAAGTGGGTATGGAATTAGAGGAATTGCATTTGCCTGTATCAAAATATAGGCATAAGCACACATTTGATTTTGCATATATGCATGTATACAAACACATGTATATACAAGCTTATCTGAGTATATATTTATATTCACACCTACAGTAATGTATTGCATGTATACGTGCATACTTTTGGGTATTTGGATATATATGAAAACACGAACAAAATATTGTGTAGGATAAAAGGTAAAATAATGTGTATTCCTTAATATGTGCATATGTTTATTTTATATATAACTACACAAACATGTAGCATGGATCTTCATAACTGTGTGCCTACACGTACATATATTTGCCTTTAGCATAGAAGCACAGATTTAGGCAAACTGTTTGCATATGTTTCCATACAACACATCCGGACTATGTTCATTCTCCCTTACACAGGTATTTGGATAGTTCAGTCTAGAATTAAGGATTTTTTTTCCCCTGCGATACATAAGACTTTTCATTCCTTCAGATCATTTCCTCTGTGAACTTCCCCAGAGCTCCGTGCCGAGCCTGGCTCTCATCACACTCAGGAGAGCTGGGGGTGCCAGGAAAAAAGCAGTGAGAGTTACATCCTTGGGGTCAATTAACTCAGACGGCTTTTTTTTTTTTAAGCCCTCTCGCTTTATTAAAAAAAAAAAAAAAAAAAAAAAAAAAGTTGGAGGGAAATAGTATGTCTTTAGTGGCCTTGTAAAAACAGAAAGAACTGTACATGGACCTCTACGTGCAGACGGGGCAATGTTGTGTCTCCCGAAATTGCCGTCGCTTGTGGCCGGGTTTGAACTGTCCGAAGAAACGGAGCAGAGCACGACGGCCCGACAGGGCGGGCGCGGGCCGGGGCTGCTGCCGTGGGCGGCGGTGAGGGCTGTCCCCTCCTCACGGGGTGCCGCTGCTTTTGATTTTGGCGACGACTTTTTTCTCCTTCACCCTCCTGTTCTGAAACCAGATAGTGATCTGCCTCTCCGTGAGGTTGGTGGCGGCGGAGATCTTCCTCCTCTTGTCCCTGGTGATGAATTTGTTGCTGGCGTACTCCTTCTCCAGCTCCTTCAGCTGCCCCTTGCTGTAAGGGACCCTCTTCTTTCGACCCCGGCGGAAGGAGCAGCCGTCGGGGGGCAGCTGAGCCGCAGCGTCTGGGCGCGGGGAGAGACGGGGCTGAGCGGGGCCGGGCCGGGCCGGGCGATCCGAGAGGATCTAAGGTTACGGGGCCCGGATCAGCCTCCCGCTCCCCGATCCCATTTGCTCCATTTCCCCCAGCGCTCGCCCGTCTTTCCTCTTAAAAAAGCAGCCCCTTTCCCCCTCATCCCATTTATTTCCCTCTTTTCCAGCAGGAGAGACCAACCTTCCTGTCACCTGTCTTTCCTAACGATATTTATTTTTTCCCCCAGATTTTTTTTTCCCTGAGACAGAGTTAATGGCAAGGAACCTACACGAAACAGATGGGAGCTGAGCCTCCCAGAGCGGTATCGTTTTGCAGTGCACCCCGTTAAACTAGAGCGACTCTAAATGTGATAAACCCAGATATTTTCCCCAACTTGCTTACCGGCTGCCATGTGGGCTAATCTGCGAGAAAGACGGAGCACGAGGCGAGAGCAATTCCCCGTCGTGTTATTTTAACCTCTTTCCCCCTTTGGGGGTGTGCAGATCCCACCTGCGCGGCCCCGCGCCGTCCTCCCCACCCAGCCCCGCGGTCCCTGCGCGCCCCGGGGATACGGACGTTACCTGCAAAGGCGGATTTCAGGAAGTAGCCGGCCTGGCTCTGCTCTTTGGGGCAGCACATCTGCTGTCCCACCCGCCGCTCAAAGCCCACGGCTGGTGGTAACTGTCCACGGGCAAAAGAGTCTCGTGCCGGGCTTCCCCCGGGGCTCCTAAGGTCTGAACCACCGAAACGTCCAGGTAACTGGCCACGGGCTGGTACGGGGCTCCGTAGCTGGGGTAGAAGGCGAGTTCGGCGGGGGGGCTCTGGGAGTCCTCGCCGCCCGCGGGGGGGGAGCACGC